TTTATCTAAAGTCATTTTTGCTTATTAGTATGGTTGAACTGGATCATCAAAGGTCAGCAGCAAAGACATTGGTTAATAAAATGGGATTAGATACATTTGTGTTATTTAACATATTTAATGCAGGTTTGCGTCATATTCTGAGTTTGCATTTCAGCCTTACTTTTTTGAAAAAGTAACTCAGATATTTTCTTGTAAATTAAAAAGTAATGCGTTACTTTACTAGTTACTTCAAAAAAAGTAATCTGATTACGTAACTCGCGTTACTTGTAATGCGTTACCCCCAACACTGGATGTGCTTTGGTTTTTGGTCAGAACCTGCGCCAGCTGGTTAAAGGTTGCAATGAATATTCTGTTTTAAATTATCTAATTAATCTAATGCTTTTGAAAGCAAACCTAAATTGAATTATTTTGTTATTTTTTTACATTTATAATTATAATTTAAACTTTACTTTAAAGTTGCTAATGAGGATTTTTACACAGAAATAATAATGGTTTAACAATCTGACTGCATTATCCAAACAATCTGCCAAAGAAAGAAAGAAAGAAAGAAAGACAGAAACAACACATTTACAGGAATGATCTGGCGTGACATGTCCCTGCTGAGTCTTGCCAGTTTGAGTGTTACGACAGATGAGTTATGGAAAATCAATTAAACCTTCAGCTTCATATGAATGAACCACATTAACTCTTCAACTGCCTGCATATTGTATCCTGCAGACTCTCAAATAAAGCTGAAAACAGATTTAATTAATTTTTGTAAAAAAAAAAAAAACTAGTGTGCTACAAGCTAGTGTTTGGAGCATAGTTGCTGGTTTAGTTTAGTTTCGTTTTATTTAAAGTTTGACATGACAGGATATTGCAGCACAAAACCCTGAAATGTGTCAAACATACACATACTCCAAGACAATCATTACTTAGTATAAAACGAATAAAAGATAGCTGATATACAAGCATAATAAAATAAAATAAAATAAATATATATATGCCGTATATACAACTAACACAGATTCACAGAAAAGGCATCCTAATCAAGGACCTGTAAGTTATCCATACAACAATTTTAGAGCACGGGGAATAAAGGAGAGTTCATGATGTTTAGTTTTACTCCTGGGTACAACAAATGTCTTGTGCCGCCGAAGAGAATAAGTAGGTGTTAGATCCATAGGCAGGAAACAATGCAATGGTGATGAACTGTCCTTGAGTATTTTAGTAAGAGTACGTATGGTGGCTTCCTCACGCCTCTCACTCAATGTTGGGAGAGTTGAAGTCGGAATGCTTATTAACCGACAGCATCGCTGTTGAATCCTCTCTAACTCCTCAGAGAGACCTTTAGGTAGACCACCCCATACTGGACTAGCATATTCGAGAACTGGCCGTATAAAAGTCAAATATACTTGCACTAAAACATCACAAGGAAGACCCACTTTTTTTTGCAGCGCAAAGATAGTATATTCTGGGGCGCACCTTCAAAATCATGTACTTAATGTGGGCTTCCCATGACAAGTCAGAGGATATTTGAACTCCAAGCAATTTAAAGGTGGAAACTCTACTAATTGCATGTCCTGAGATAACAGGAGAGGGAGGGGAGGGAATGTTATCCTCTCTCCTGGCACTAATTACCATGTCCACAGTCTTAGCTCCATTCATTGCCAATGTAAATTCCTGTCCCCATTCCACTACAGAGTCCAAGGCCTTCTGAGTGAGTCCAGGTAAAGATCCCATTAGAAACTCTGTGATTGTTAGATCATCAGCATATTTCACAGGTATTACCGAAGGAGGCAAATATGAATCGAGGCTATTTATGCATATGACAAAAAGCAGAGGGGATAGAAGTCCCCCTTGAGGAACACCAGCTGGAACTGGAAAGGAGTTAGACACACAGGAGCCCCACTTAACCCTCTGCTCTCTGTTACTCAGATATCTCCTTACAATAAGCCAAAGGGGTCGTCTAACATGCAAGTCAGCTAAGGAATGTAACAGTCGACAATGTTCAATTGTGTCAAAAGCTCGAGTGAAGCCAACAAAAACAGCATTTATATCCATTTTCGGGAAGCTGTTAAGTGCTTCATGCCAGTGCTGCAGAATTTGAATCAAGGCAGTGTCAGTTGATCTGTTCCTCATAAAGCCGTGTTGTGATGGTTCGATCTTAGTAACTGTATCCTCCAGAATGGCATCTCTGAGGATTCCTTCAAACACTTTTCCAACACAGCTGAGTAGTGAGATCTGGCGATAATCTGCTGGAAAACTAGGCTTTGCTTTTTTAGGAACAGCTTTGACTATAGCCTCCTTCCATTGTTTTGGAAAAATGTTATGCTGAATGCATGTATTGAAGATGTCACATAACACCGGTGCCAACTCTTCATGAAAAGTCTTTAGCACCCAAGGAGGAACGCAGTTGGGACCAGCAGCCTTGGCTGCATTCACTTTACGGAGTCTAGTCTTAACTTGTCCAATACTCAGAGGAGGTACACTACAATTTGACAACTTGCAGGTAACTTCTTCCTCAGGCAAAGAAATGTGGCTCGCATAATTCCACACAGAAGCAAAGTGCCTAGCCAGAGTGTCACACTCGCGTTGCATGATGTTTTGATCCTGAGACACCATGTCACTCTTATCTCCTTCCATCCCCATTAAATTCTTCACTGACTTAAACCATTGTTTTGGCTTGGAGTATCGCAGTTCTTCCACCTCATGCTGGTAATATTGTTTCTTTGCGTTCTTGATTTTTTTGGCAATGATTGATTTTAACTTCCTATAAGAGGTTTTGTCGCCAGAACAAAAAGTACACTGCCTATCTTTTATCAGATCTTTAATTTGAACAGTCATCCAAGGCTTATCTGTGTTTGTGATAGAGACTTTCTTTAATGGAACTGTTTTATCCAAGATAGATATGATAGTGGAAGTAAAGGCACTAACCTTAGCCTCAGGATGTATAGCTTCGTGAATGTGAGAAAAATCAGTAGTGTTCATAAGGAGGCCCAGTTCCCTGATTGTCTCAGGGGTACGTTTTCTGCAAAAAAATATGTTTAATAGGCTTGGTGGGCCAGTTTCCTGCATTTAGCAAGATAGTCTGATGGTCAGAAGAGCCAACAGGAGGCAAATGCTCTGGTGTCTGATACATGGAGAAAATATTGGTAAATATAGAGTCTAGTTGACTAGCCTTTCTTGTTGCTCCAGCCACAATTTGTTTCAAACCATGTCTGCTGCAGATGGTTTCAGACTTGTACTTATTTGTATCACCAAGTATGACAATTGCAGCCTGCTGATAGTTACATTCAATATATCTGAGACAACGATCCATATACTGTGAGATTAGTAAATCAGGTTGGGCTGATGCAGAAGAGCGTGGTGGAAAATATAACACAGCAGCAATAATACAACTTAACCCTCGAGGAAGACGACCGGGACGTAACCAGACCCACAAAGCTTCATGCTCTTCCTCTTCTAGATGAGTCAGTCGAATTTGTTTGATGATGTTACAAACATACAAGGCAACTCCTCCTCCCCCACCTCCTTTGCGATCCCGCCGATGTATTGTATATCCAGGAAAAGTTACAATTGAATCTGGGATACCATCGTTTAGCCAAGTCTCTGAAACGGCGACAACTGCTTTTAGTTATTATTCAGTGCTACACTGTGCAGCTCATCACATTTGTGGCGTAAAGAACGCACATTAGAAAGGAGAAAACCAGGCATAGATGGTATTGACTTGTGTTGGCTTATCTTGATATTTAAGTTCTTAGATTGGTAACAACAGTCAGATAAAAACATTCTTTGCCCAGTTGGCTGTCTTTTAATATCCACAGCAGTTCCACAAGAAATAGGGCGATTTCCATCAATTATACATATTGAACGAATATAATTTCTCCCAGCTTTCTTACCCCTTGGGCGAGATCGGAGTCGAAGAATCCCATTTAACTGCAGTATGTTCTTAACTTCAGGAGCCAAAGGAGATGCACATCTTCTCAGACTTCTTAAAAAATGAAAATCACATAAATGTCCAGTTTGTGCCATTGTAAGGAGAAGGGGGAAACAATTACTTGAAGATGGTTTCCTCAATAGTTTCCTATCATCCACCCAGCTGTAGAAGAGTAGGCCGCATACCAAAATCCATCCAAAATCTCCCAGAAATAAACCCATCCACAGGTCCTAACTCCCAATATAGCAATATAATCATACAAATAAATGATCTATCCGTGCATTTCCAAACTATATTAAGTTAAAATTCTGGTGGTCTACCAGATCTAACAGAGTTGACAATAGCCCCCCTCAGGTTTCTAAACCATGAATAGACACATTTTTGTTCTGTAGACTTTTAGAAACCAAGCTCTCCTAAAACATAGCTCTTATACTCTTGCTAGTTTAATTTGTCCACTAACAGTGACATAATTGTTTTATGATGGCCAAAATCACAGAAAATCAGTCACTGTCTCTAGTTAGCTTATCTAATACACCTACTTTTTTTGTTGCATAATTTGAAAATCAAATCAAATTTTTTTGAATGATGTAATTTTTAATTAAATAAAAAGTAACGTTTATTTATTTTTATAATTTAATTTATTTGAGATATTTGTATTTTATAATTGAATTTAATTATTTATTTTGTAAGGAAGACAATCCAACTTTCTCGGTTTCTTGCCTCCATTTATGTATTTCAACAAACATTTGCTGTGGGTGAACGTTCTCTCCTAGCGCACTGGGATGCTGGAGGACGGGCTGCTATGGCCAAAATCACAGAAAATCAGTCACTGTCTCTAGTTAGCTTATCTAATACACCTACTTTTTTTGTTGCATAATTTGAAAATCAAATCAAATTTTTTTGAATGATGTAATTTTTAATTAAATAAAAAGTAACGTTTATTTATTTTTATAATTTAATTTATTTGAGATATTTGTATTTTATAATTGAATTTAATTATTTATTTTGTAAGGAATACAATCCAACTTTCTCGGTTTCTTGCCTCCATTTATGTATTTCAACAAAACATTTGCTGTGGGTGAAAGTTCTCTCCTAGCGCACTGGGATGCTGGAGGACGGGCTGCTGCTGCTGCTGCTGTTCATGCACACAAACATGGCGGAACCCATGGAGCTGCTCTGCTGGGGAGGCGACTGGGATCTGCCATCCGTGCACACAGACTCCCTCATCGTGCTGGTAACTACACGCGTTATATTAACGCTTGTGTTGTATGCATGTTTACAATGAAATAACTAATCAACAACGTCGATGCAGTTTTGGAGAGACGTGTCCTGGGATCCGGGTAGCAGTGTTCAGAGTCACTTTGATAAATAAAAGTATTCTGTACACTATATATGCATGCGCCAGTTCAGTTGTCAGCTGATGCTTCCTGTTACCGTAGCTGTCATGCAAAAAGCAGCTCGACTGAATTGTATTGCATTGCATTGGTTTGACTGGATGATAATAGTAAGCTGACATGTGTCGCACTTTATTTCTTGAAGGTCAGAGGAATAATGCTGATATGGAGAGACGTGTCCTGGGATCCGGGTAGCAGTGTTCAGAGTCACTTTGATAAATAAAAGTATTCTGTACACTATATATGCATGCGCCAGTTCAGTTGTCAGCTGATGCTTCCTGTTACCGTAGCTGTCATGCAAAAAGCAGCTCGACTGAATTGTATTGCATTCCATTGGTTTGACTGGATGATAATAGTAAGCTGACGTGTCGCACTTTATTTCTTGAAGGTCAGAGGAATAATGCTGATAGGATCTGAAGGGTATAATGGGCTCTTTTACACGCTTTTCACTTAGATTATAGATTGTACACACGTGCTTGTGTTTTGTAAGGGAGTGTAGCTTTTTGTTTTATTTTTGCAGCTGCCTGAAAACATGCATTCTGATAACCTTTTGTAAAAATGCATAATAAAAGTCCTAGTTACAGTGTAGCGCTTTAGTGATGATTATTAATATTTACTTAACCCTTAATCAATCATCTGTTCACCTTCATATGTTTTTAATGTTCTCTTATAGGCATATGCCAAATTTTCAGGTGCAACGCTTGCAGTAAAATCTATTGACTGGACATGGAGGACTATAACAGGTAAGGAAGGATTCTTTTTTTAAAATAGGGTATTGGTGTAAGAGCATGTTAAATGCTGTGAAAGTCTGGGATGTAGCCACAAGCATCCATGTCATTTTCCAAATGTAACATTGTGAATGGCAAGCATTGCTGAAGTGCATGAGAGGGGTTTGTATATGGACAAGCTCTTTGATGGTTAAGCTGCAGCTGTCATGTTTCTCCCTCCACAGCATCTGTGCCACAGCTACACTATGAGGGATCCACAGTCACAGAACCAACACAAATTCTAAACTTCCTACGAAAACAGGTAGAAATTCATATCTGTTTAGCGATGCCCTCTTTTTTGTGTAAAGTAAGTTGGGGGTATTTTGCAGTTTGTCAGTGAATATCGCAGAAGAATTCTGATGAAACCAGGACCCGAGTGGTTTATTTTGACCAGCTGACTGTATGTTATCCTACTTATTACATGACTACCAAATAAATTCATACATTAACATTAAAAATTGATTTTTTTTTTTTTGTAATTAGCTACAGTTTATTATCTACAATTTATTATTAAAGGGGTCATATGATGCGATTTCAAGTTTTCCTTTCTCTTTGGAGTGTTACAAGCTGTTCGTGAATAGATAAGATCCCTAAAGTCTCAAACCCAAAGAGATATTCTTTATAAAGTTCAGACTCGTCCACGCCCTCCTAAAACGCCTCGTTTAAACACGCCCCCACATGTCTACGTCACTGTGTGGGAAGATTTGCATAACACCACCCAAATGTTCACGCAAAGAAAGAAGGCGTAACTTTGATTCTCGCAGCGAAACTACTTTGTTTGGCCTTCCAAAAGAAGACACGACAAGAAATCAGTGGTTAAGTTGTATTTACAACACTGTTCCAGAACAGTTAAAACCAAATATTCAGATGTGTGCAGCCAATTTAACGGAGGACGAGGACTGTTTCCTGGGAGAGTGGGCTACAATGCCGGTTGTTCCTGTTAATTCAGTTCCCATTTCCCCTTCGGCGCGCATGCTGACCACAGTCTATGATGCTGACAAATAATGCTGACTCCCAGACTGTAAGTACGTTTTCATATTTAAAGAATTTGCCACTGACGATTCAAACGTGAGTTTTGGGCAGTGTAGAGTAGGGCTTGTTGTTTGTCGTTTTTCCGATCACAAATGCAGACATGGTTTTATGTTTACACGGCGCGATGCAACACCAAAGCGTAAAAAGACAGTATAAGTCATTATAAGCCGTAATTATGTACCCACTGGATGCAACAAATTTCTCATTTATAATGGGTTTTAATGTTTTTGTCTCATCGCTCCGGCCAGGACACGGCATCAGTATAAGTAGTATAAGTCATTATAATCCGTAATTATGTCCCTACTGGATGCAACAAATGCCTCGTTTATAATTGGTTTTATTGGTTTTGGTTCGTCGCTCCGGCTGGACACGGCATCACCATATGGTAAGGGGCGTAACATTTCCGTCTCACGCTTGAGGTATTCGGCCAATCACAACGCACTGGATAGCTGGCCAATCAGAGCACACCTCGCTTTTCAGAACGATGAGCTTTGTAAAAATCGACGCGTTTCAGAAAGGCGGGGCATAGAGGAGAAACAATAATGTACAGTATGTGGAAAATAATGTGTTTTTTGAACCTAGAACCACATAAACATTTCATTACACCAAATACACAAAATAATGTTCTTTTTTAGCAACGTCATATGACCCCTTTAAAAATATTTAATCACGGAATTTTCACATCTAGTTTTCAAGCAGCCCAACGTTTTTATATAAATATATTTATTGGGAATATACAGTGGGTATAGAAAAGAATCACCCCCTTTAAAATAATCACATTTTGTTGCTTTACAGCCTGAAATGAAGCTGTATATCCAGCTGTATTTACTCAGTGCAACTTATAACATCCATGAAGTATGATGTGCTTGAGAAAGGGTGATTATGCTCCCTGGATTGTATATTAAAGTGTCAATAAAACATGTGTTGCTCAATCCACATAGAGATTCAATGCCGACTATGAGTTGACGGCTAAGCAAGGTGCAGATACAATGGCTTATATCGCCCTACTGGAGGAAAAGCTGCGGCCAGCATTGGTGGGTCCATCTGCAATTCACTTACTGCTTTGAGTCATATCTGATCCTCATAATGATGATGGTATGAATTAAGTGTAGATCTGTGCTGTTAATTTGTAGCTGCACACATTCTGGGTGGACGCACAGAACTATGCTAACCTGACCCGACCCTGGTTTACGTCACATTCCCCGTTCCCCCTCAACTTCTTTGTACCAGGTCGACAGGCCAGCTTGGCTCTGTCCCGCATCTTACTGACCAAAGCAGAGTCGCCATTGCTGAACATCACAGAAGTAGAGGGAAAGGTATGAGAAAACAGATCCATATTCATGTACGATTTACGTCAGTTACTGAGACATTATATTTCATGCATTGCATTGAATTAATCTATTCTTTTTCAATGCCATGGTGAAATGGAAATGTTTGTGGTTCTGCATTGTGAGATGAAAAACAGTTTATCTCAGGAAAATTGTTTGTCCTCATGAGCAAATCTGCCTGAGGTGGAGTGTAGAAACCAGAGGATCATGAAATATGTTACACAAATGTGCTATTGTAGTTATGCCATCCCTCATAATAATGAATATAAAATTGTATGGTTAATAATAGAATTTCTTTTAGATCTACAGTGAAGCCAAAGAGTGCCTGAATTTGCTCTCCCACAGACTTGGGAACTTCCACTTCTTCTTTGGAGACACGTGAGTTTTTGAATTCTTTTATCCCGTAATATTTATCAGTTCTTTAAAGGGATAGTTATAAAAATAAAAGTCTGTCGTCGTTTACTTACCTTCATGCCATTCCAAACCTGTATGACTTTCTTGCTTTTGTGGAACATGAAAGAAGATATTTTAAGAAATGTCTTTATTGTTTTTTTTCTTGTTCCCAACATTCTTTAAAATAACTGTTTTCTGTTTTAATATATTTAAAAATGTGTTTTACTCAGTGTTGCTGCTGAAGATTTAGTCTTGCAATCACAGGAATAAATTATATTTTAAAATATATTCAAATAGAAAACAGTTATTTTAAATTGTAATACTATTTCACAATATTACTGTTTTTGCTGTATTTTTTATAAAAAATTGCAGCTTTGGTATAAAAGCATAAAATACTTCTTTCAAAAACATTGAAAAAATCTTACCAACCCCAAAGTTTTGAACAATAGTGTAAAATTGAGTTAAAGGGATAGTTCACTAAAAAATTGAAATTCTTAAAAATTACATCATTTATCAATTATAGATGATCCAAACCTGTATGAATTCTTTCAACTGCTGAACACAAAAGATGATATTTTGAAGCATGTTAGGAACAAAACAGTTGACGGTAGCCATTGACTTCCCTAGTATGGAAAAATGATGACAGAATTTTCATTTTTTGGTGAACTATCCCTTTAAATGTAATCCTCTTAAATGTATAAGCCTGAAGTTCACCATGTTTTCTATCTGCCAGGCCTACAAGCCTGGACGCCTTTGTTTTTGGCCATATCGCCCCCCTTATTAAAGCCCCTCTTCCCAGTGGCCAGCTTCAGAAGCACCTGAACCAACTTGATAACCTCTGCCAGTTCTGCAACACCATCCTTAAAAACTATTTTACCGACGCCTCTGCTGAGAAGAGAATGGACTGTAAGTAGTAAGACCTCTGTCACAGCCTGTCTAGAACTATATTAATAAAACCACAAAAAAACATAGTATTGGTCCTGTTCTGTTCTCTTTCGTCTTTTTATTACTTTATCTCAACCTACATTTGATTGCTGTTGAATCATATAGAATTAAATAATTTAACCAGGCATTCATGATTAATTACTTTTCCATTGCCTTCAACCCCAGACATTTGGCTCATAGCAAATGCTAAAAGACAGTTTAATAACAGCATGGTCTTGGGCCTCGTGGCTATTTTAAGTGATTTGCTCTGTCTCTTTGGCTGCCCTCTGAATCTGCACTAACCTTTCTCCCATGTGCGTCTAAAAACGTCTGCTTTTCTTCAGAATCAGTGTCCTGTCGTCTTTTCTCTATCTCTGCCCTCTTGCTAGGCTCTCCGACGGCTACCCATGATCCTGTCGATGCAAACCTCCAGAAACTGACACAACTTGTTAACAAAGAGTCCAACCTTATTGAAAAGGTCTTGGCAAGATCTGCTGATTCACTTCTGAATTTAATGTCACTAGAAATTGCAGTTACATGTTTAAAAGTATGTGGACACTGTTTTTTCACAATGTATTGAAATGTATTTGTTCCTATTCAGAATTCCACAGCAGTGTCAGTGAGGTCAGACACTCATATTGAGTGATGGGATCTGGCTCACAGTCAATTTCCCAATTCAGTGTTCAATGGGGTTCAGGTCTGGGCTAGTCTAGGCCAGTCAAGAAAGAGTCCAACTAGACTTAATAAACCGTTTATTTACTTAGATTTTTTTCTAGGGGCATTTCATGCTGGAAAAGAAAAGTCTTGTAGCATTGTGCTGAAAGTATTTAATAAAAAGTGTCTCAAATATCTCACAATTCTCACTTTTTAAAGAAGATATAAATTCAGAATTGCTCACAATTCGAAATGTTATCCCACAATTCTGAGAGAAAAGTCTCAATTGTGAGACATGCAGGTGGTCACGTTGGTTATGTTGACGGAAGTTAGCCTATTTTCAGGGGCTGCATAATATCATTGCGCCTGGTGCACCCATGGTACGGCAGCAAAGTTCCTTGATTATTACGCCGGAATGAGAGTATAGTTCCTAGCCATATCGGCCTAGAAAATCGCAACTTTTCATTTTCCGTCAGTCTTAGTACACGATGTAACTACAGAAGAGTCAAGTTTTAAATAGGAAAACTATAGATATTGGAAAATGAGCCTATTTTCAAAAATAGTGGAGTGTTCCTTTAAGAACTTATTTATGCTCTTTGAATGAACAATACTAACACATTGCAAAACTTTCCGTTCATTCATCCTTTAAATGTGGCAGTAATAGAGAGACAGCTGTAGGACTGTCACATGGAAGCTATTACAATTCACCACGCCCCGAATATTCACATTCCCTCAACAAAATGGAAAGGACAGGAGATTTTTCCCCCTTTGTTTTGCTGGCTTTTTGGTCTTTACAACCATCTATGATGAATTAAGATTTTACGGCAGGAAAGAAGAGGGCTTAATAACAAAAATAAATTATATATCTAATCAAATATTTGGGGTCAGAAAGATTTTTTTAACAATTTAAACATCGTTACAAATAAACTTTGTTTATTATTCATCAAAGACTCCTAAAAATTTATTATGGTTTCTACAAAAATTAGCAGAACAACATTAATGTTTTCAACATTAGTGATGGATAAAAAAAAAAAAATCTTGAGCACCAAATCATATTAGCATGATTTCTGAAGGATCATGTGACACTGAAGACTGGAGTAATGGCTGCTGAAAATTCAGCTTTGCCATCATAGGAATAAATCACATTTAAAAAATATATTAAAATATAAAACTGTTATTTAAAAAAATATATTTGAAATAATAATCAAATAATATTCAGCAAATCAGTAAATATTGCTTCATTATTATTTCATATTATTTTTTATTAGATAAATCCAGCATTGGTGAGCCTAAACATTAAAAATCGCACTGACCCCAAACTTAACATTTTAATTCATCTATAAGCTTAATTCTTTGTTCATTAAAACATCTCTGATGGAAAAACATTTTAAAACATCTAAGTGACACTAAAAATACTCAGAAGCTTTGTTAACATTTTAATTCAGTCCAGTCGTTTTCAGAAATACAAATAAATATACAAGTAGACTCATTTATACCACTACTAAAGGATTAGACAACAGAACATTTTAAAAGAATAATTTTACAAAACAGACAACAACTTGAAAATTAAGTGCTATCCCTGCACTGTGTCCATTAGACTATAAATCGAATTAAAATGTGTTTTCTCTTATGCAAGTGATTGTAACTGATTTTGACTGTCATACAGTGAAGCTTTCAGAGCAGAAAAGAAAAAAAAAAATATGCACATGATACTGCGATGATCCATTGGAAGTGAAAACTAAAATCTCTTTACTCATTTCCCTTTGCTTAGTTTGTGATTAAGCGAGATCCTGACCAGCAACGATTTAAAATGTAAACTGGAGTGAAATAACCTTTTCCTACCAAATCTTTTAAATACAGTAAACCACAGAAAAATAAATATTTTCATCCCTCATTTGTGATGCCTTGCCCATCATCTCAAAACACATGTCCTCCACTGAGGGAGAATTCAGCAATGAAAGCATGTTATTAGCAGTGCCAATATCTATTCATTTTATTCAAACAACCTGGAAGCCTGTAGCCTCCAAAATAAATACACTGACACTGAATATGAATGTCTGCACAACGTGTGATCATATACTGTATGAGAAGCAACAAAACTGGTTGCATGCACTTTCTGTGTCATATATACAAAAACAACGCAACAGCTCCAAAAAAAAAAAAACTAGTTTCTGGAGGGATTTAAAAGCACAGCTTCAAAAACAATCCTTCCTTTCACAAAACTAAATTAGGATGACCATATGTCCTTTTCCCTGGACATGTCCTGTGGCTGGGATTTCTAAATTGCCTAAAATGTCTGGGTTTTGGCTTTGATTTCCTTTGGACATGCTCTCTACGGTCTTCATAAATTACATGTATGCGTATTTGTATTGCTTTGACCATTCTCTGTAGATCCCACCTTCACGCATGCCATGATTGGTCGATTAAGTACAATGCCTGCACGCTACTGGTCATTACCTTCAGCAAGTATGAAAACAATAGGAAAACAAAGCCCAAACCAACACATTTTGGGTAATTTAGAAATCCTGGCCAGGACACGTCTCAGAAAAAGAGGATGTACAGTCACCCTGACTAAATATTTCTCATTATGGTCACCCAAACTAAATGTTCCTCATAATCTCTTCAGTCACACCATTTCTTAGAACTGAGCAATTTTTCAGCTCTTCAGCACAATATTGTTTCATTTTATTACTATTAAGAAAGAAGCACTTGATTCATATCCTGTGGCACAAGCAAGCCCAGAGCTTCGAGGCTTCAGTCGTGTAAACTAGCAGTGCTTAACAAACTCCGGCACCTCCATGGTCATGTTTAGTTCTAGATTCCCCGGCTGCTCCAGGACAAACACAGGGTGGCAGGGCTGAGTGAAGGCGTGCCGAAAAGTGCCCAAGAGCTGCCCGTTCTGAGCATTAAAGAAGAAGAGCCGACCCTGGCTGTAGTCCAACAGAGTGCCGACCCGCGCAGGTATGTCCATGACAAAGATGTCAGACTCCACGCTGTCATGAAGCAGCTCAAATCTGCAGCTGGAGAGATGAAGGGTTATGCGACACAATAAATATATCAAATAATATAAATACAATATATATTATAAAATACAACATAATAAATATGTCAAATTATATATTTATCAGTAAGGAAATTGATGAAGAATGAAAGAATCCTGAAAAAGATTTTGCTTTCCACAAAAATATTAAGCAGCACAAATGTTTTCAACATTAAAAAATGTTGTTGAAAATACAGCTTTGCCATCACAGGAATAAATTACATTTATAAAATAGAGAAAACAGTTATTTTATATTGTAATAATATTTCAAAATTCACAATATTACTGGTTTTACTGTATTTTTGTACAAATAAATGCAGTCTTGAGAGACTTTCAAAAATCTTCAAAATTCAAAAATCTTACCAACCCCAAACTTTTGAACAGTAGTATATATGCAATGTTATGTAAACACATTGATTCCATTGTAGAAATACCCTGTTCTGAGGAGTTTTTGTCACCCATGACTGATTAATTACAGAACCAAAATTGTTTGTGATCTCACTATTTATGTGGAATAAAACAGCCTTTTCTAGGTCACTGATATGGCTGCAGTCTTCATATCATATGTACATCACTTTTGTAGGTGTAAACCTTTGGGGAAAATGACTTATTGTACCTTTAAAATAGGGCTGCACGATAAATCGCATGCGATTTATCGTGCAGCCCTACTTTAAAAGCAATTAGAGCACAACCCAAGACTACGTGTTCTCAATAAAACCAAATTCCGATTTAAACAACTTGGTTTCATTGAAAAGCATCTATAGTATCATCTTTGTGCTCACATTTTGTGCAGATGCACTCATAAAATTGTTCTTTCCATTGGCTAGGACTTGACAGGACTCTAGTTGCTGATTTGCAAACTCTTAACATCATAGACAATGTACACAGTACCTTTCACAGTTGTAGACCGGGGATTTTTCGAAGTACACAAGACTATTTTTAAAGGTTTTATGGAAGGCCGAGAGAACTTTTTTAATGAGAGAACAGATTTAATGAGAGAACACATTTTTTAAAGATTTATACCAAAGGGGCATTTTGATTCTTTTTGAAGGCACCAGTTAATTTACCTTCCCGATTGCCAAAGAGCCTTAATTACACAGTGTTTTCAGAGTTTGGAATGGAGCTACGAAATGTCCTACCAGGTTGTTTATTTAAACTGAAATGAGCAGATATTAAATAAACACACTTTTCTAGCTGGACAGAATTTGGTAAAAAAAAAAAAAATTCCATGACTTTTACATGTAATGGATATCCTCTTTAGGATAATGAAATGCATGCACAAATACATGAATGGGATACCTTATAGATGTAGGTACACAGTGCAGAGACCAGGAGGCACTGTTCTCCCCCAGTGTGCTAGTTTGTGATACAGTTTGATATGCAATGCCGATGCGGTAGGCTTTGCATTTTGACACCTCCGTCTCCCAGTAGTAATATCCAAGAGAAGGTAAAAGCTCACCCAAAACAGCTGGACATCTAAGAACAAGTAAAAAAAATGTTATATACATATATATATGCATTTGCTGTAACTCAAGACACTTGTGCTTTTGTGCATCACTGAAAACAGCATATGTCATGAATTTTGAGGTTGCAAATTAAACAGGACATATAATTTGTTGTGTTTTCAGTGTTAGTTTTGTAATAGTCAAAACAATTGTTTGAGGTACTTACTCTATGATAGAGGACATTTTATTGTAGATGTCATGTGGGTACTCTACTGAGTTCCTGTCCTCTGAAACCTTCAGCAGTGAGTTGGCCTTTTCACTGAGGAAGTGGAACCTTGTACCTTATCATACAACAACATTCACCAATCACCAAGTAACAAACAGAATTAACATTTTATCATATTAAAAGTGAGAATTTAGTGATGCTGTCAAAAATTGCCATGTTTTTAAATCACT